CCACCTTGCAGTCCTAAATCATTCTTGTGAGTGAATATTAAGCTTTTATTTTAGCTTTTAGGGTGGAGAACAGCATGGAAAAGGAGCCAAATGGATTGTTTTAGGGCACTTCAAAGTGAGAAAATAACATAAATTGGGCGACGTGTGTTTTCTCACAGCGACAAAACTATCAAACAACAACTTTACAACAACTCAGTCGAGACTCACAAAAGACATTTTGATGCTTTAACCCCATCAGAAGTTCAGCATCCCACCACTCGACATGAAAACACACAGTGGGGCAGATTTTCCGTTCTTATTGTTAAAAGGCCACAAAAAGACGCATTAACCGGAGACGGTGAATAAGAGAAAGCAGCGCCGGCGTCATGCGTCCGGCCCATGTGCCTTCACGTGTGATTCGACGGTCTGAGAGTCTTATTAGCGACAGATCCACACCAGCATCACTCGTCTGAAAAGGCAGCAGCTGCCCGCCGTTGCCATGGAGCGTCACACATTATGTCGCCGCCTCATGTACGATGCACCTTTGAGATCATTTTCACGCCGCCTCTGATGCCGGCGCACAAAAAGAGCCCGCACAGGGCCGATAATTATCATATGATCATTGTAATTAGCGCCGCAGCGACACGTTTCCATGAAGGCTGCTTTAATGGCGCCACTGAAAGCCGGAGGACGGTCGGATCATCATCATCATCATCATCATTCAGGCTGGAAAAAACAGTCCGATGTGGCTCCAATTATGTCTAATCACGGCCAACGATGTCTCGGACATAAAAGATTGGGTTGATTTCTGCCGACGTCTCGGCAACAAACCTGGATCAGACACTGGAGTCGATTATGTCAGTCACAACTTGTGGACAAAACACTGAGCGGACAGTCGTCGTGTTGTTGCCCCGAATCAGTCAAAAGCAAAAAAAACAACAAACTGCAGAAACTATAATCTGACACGTAAATATTGCATCGATAATAATAATGTAGGATTTGCAGGATGGAAGTTTGAAGGCGCTCATAGGATGGAATCTTTTGGAGAGAGTTTTGTCTTGACGTGCGACACCGATGCTAGTGTTTGGTCGCCACCTAGTGGAAGTTCAGGTGCATTAAAACTCACCAAGAATCAGAGTTTTCTCCTGTTAATGTTCCTCCAAAACCTTGATCACATTCAGGATTGGTGAGTCTCATTAATCTGCTGAAGCTTCTTTATCACAGCAGCTTTTATTTGAGATTTGACTCAGTTGTAAAATCGTCACGCAAAGTGCAACAAACTGTGTTTTCGTGGAGTTTTTGGATCAATATTGGTGCTAAAATGTAGGAAAAACCTTTAAACCACCTCAGACAACTAAATGTGACTAAAAGTGACACACAAACGCTTCTAAGTTGTTTACTTTACTAGAATTTGAAATCCCAGATGTTTCATTAACTTCAGCTCCTGTTAATGTTTCGTCCAAACCTGTTTTACAGTCATTAGTGGTGAGTCTCATTAATCTGTTACAGCTTCTGTCTTCATCACAGCAAACATTTCACTGAGTTGTGGTGCAGGAAACTGTGCTTTTGTGCCTTCAGTGATGCTTCTGGATCAATATTGGTGCTAAAATGTGGAAATCAACCTTCTTCAAACCACCCCAGACAACGAAATGTGACACAGAAATGCTACCAAGACACTTACTCCAGAAGAATTACATTTTTGTTGGTTAAATGGTCAAAAATACAGATTTCTGTCTCATATACAGACTCAACGCCACACTAGAGCTGCAACAACTGATTGATTAGCCAGCTGTTTTGTGAATCAGTTCATTGATTTGGGAAGAATTTCTTGCAGCTTCTTACATTTTTCTGGAAATACAGATTTTTCATTAACTGAACTTGAGCTCCTGGTAATGCTTTCTGTCTTCATCACAGTCGTTTTTCATAAACATTTCAGATTGTAGCAAATGTGAAAGTGTAGAAAAAATCATCAGTGATGTTTTCGGATCAATATTGGTTCTAAAATGAGGGGGAAAACCTTCTTTAAATCACCTCAGACAACTAAATGTGACTAAAAGCAGCTCAGGCTGAGCTGAAAGTGATATTTACTCCAGAATAATGACATTTTTCTTTGTCAAATGGTCAAAAATGCAGATTTCTGTCACATAAGATACTACAGACTTACTGCCTTCACTGTACGCACACTAGAGCTGCAATATTTGATCAGTTAGCCAGCTATTTTGTCAATCAGTTAATTGATTTGGGTAGAATTTCTTTCAGCTTTTTCATTTTTTTCTGGAATCACAGATTTTTTAATTCGCTAAACTTAAGTCTCGTTAATCTGTCACAGCTTCTGTCTTCATCACAGTCATTTTTATGGACATTTTAGTTTGTAGCAGATGTGAAAATGCAGAAAACTTGCTCTCAGTGATGTTTCTGGATCAATATTGGTCCTAAAATGAGGAAAACAACCTTCTTCACATCACCTCAGACAAATAAATGCGACTGAAACTGCTGCTAAGTCCGACCTAATAAGACTAGAGTCGCGACTTTTACAGAAAACCGACACGTTCAGATTAACAGAATGTCAGAAGGAGGTTTAAAGTTTTTCCATTGGAGGCACAGTAGCGATAAACACGTCGCTGCAGCATAGATTCTAAACAGCGTCCACAGACTCCTACGCAGGATTGAAACCCTACCAGGGTGACGGTGAGGCTGAGAACTCGTCCTTTGCAGTCCACGAACACAACGCTGTCCTCGTACCAGGGGTCCAGGTGCAGGTAGTTGTACATGCCGAAGGCTCGCATGTGTTCCAGGGTGTAGTGGGAGTCCTTCAGCTTCACCTCCTCCACAGCTGCAGCCGGCAGGAGGAGAGCACAGGGGGAGATAAAGTAGGAAATGACAGGATTTACATTATTGTTATCGGTTTCAACAAGTATTACAGGAGATAAACTTATGACTCTTAGTTATCTTGTTAACTTTAAATATTCGTAGAAGCCCAGTGCTATATTGAATAAGTAATATTGAACATTTTTTAAAGACTTTTATGAAAGCAACTTAAGCATCATTGTCTCTGTTCAAAGTCACATAATTATCTTCGGATATGCTTCAATTATGGCCGAAAAAAAAGATGCAGAATTGTTGGATGTTGGCAGGTCGGTGCATATTTTACTATCTCATAACATTTGTCTGCTTTATTTACAGGCCTTTTATCAAACATAACTCTTGTTATATTGATTGTCTGATGGTTTTTATGGAGAAGTTGTGAAAAATCCATCCATCATCTCTACACTTTCATCCTCACTAGGGTCATGGGGGGCTGGAGTCTATCCCAGCTGACTCAGGGTGAAGGCTTTATATTTTTATGTTCCTGATATTTTGTGCACCTCACATGAGTGTTGCCAAATATAGGAAACACTTTTAAATGTAACACAATCCATCACCTTCTACTATGGGCTCAATAATAATAAACATAAAGCAAAATTATTACCTTTTCTTGACAACTCAAAAAAAAATGTAGACGCTTTGCAAAATTTGCAAGATTTGTTGCACTGGATTGAATTAAATTCTACAGATGCAGCTAATAAAAAGTCAGCATTCAGTGTGGCACACCAGAGTCAGGTATCAGTGCTAAGCTAACACACATGCTAACTGAGCTGTAAGTTAGTTTCTCTCACCTGCGTCCAGCTCAACGTTGTACGTCGGGATCGCGTCCAGAGACAACCGGTAGCTTTCAAAGTTTGGGTCCAGCAGGTCCCTGTTGACCTTCAGGGAGTAATTAGACGCAGCCATGTCTTCTTAACACCCCTGTCACTTACTCACAAGTTGATGTGCAGCAAAGGAGAAGATGATGCTGGAGAAGAACGCACGCTTCCTGTTTTGTTTCCACACGGAGCCATTTTACAGCGGACGCGAACTCCCGCGGGCGCTCATGGGAAGTCGAGTTCTTGGGGCGTTTTCCGTTAAAACGAAATTGTTCACTTTTTCATACACTAAACTAATTTAATTTAAAAAAATTTTTTTAAACTAATTTCACAGATTTTTCTCTAACATTATTTTGAAGTTAGTCGGTTATATCGCGCGTTGTTAAAAAAAAAAAAAACGCTCCGAAACCGGAACTATTGAGCTTTTTAAGTGTTCGACGGAGCCCGTTTGTTAAGGGACCGTGGTGTTCCCCAGCTGATCCCTCTCGACAAAGGTAACGTTTACCTGTTAGCTAGCTACGTTTCAACGCATTTATTTGTGTTTCTGTGCGTTTAAAGCCACGGCTCCGGGCGTCTGTGTGTGTTTTTCAGGCAGAACATGAGCAAAGACTCCCAGATGAGGGCTGCGATCAACCAGAAGCTCATAGAAATGGGGGAACGGGAGCGGTGAGCGACGCTTTCTCTGCACTGATTTGGCGCTGAACGCTTTACAGGCGGTCACATATTGAGATTAATTAAGCAACAAAAAAAAATGTCACCTGAATTCGTGTCTGCAGGTTGAAAGAATTGCTCAGGGCGAAGCTGGTGGAGTGCGGATGGAAGGATCAGCTGAAGGCACACTGCAAAGGTACTGGGATTTATTCATAGTAGTGAGGATGTTGTGGTCCTGTGATGCTCTGTCACTGAATCCACCGACTCCTGTGTCCAGATGTGATCAGAGAAAAGGGCCTGGAGCACGTCACAGTGGAGGACCTGGTCACAGAAGTCACACCAAAAGGCAGAGGTACAGCACCGGACACGCACACAGCAGCAGAATCATGCATCAGAGAGCAGGATTTCAGGTTTAATCATGAGTTTGTAGGACTGCAGCAGTGGTTCACACCTTACCTGGCACCTCAGCTGCTCATTTATGTTGAACACGTAGTAAAACACCTCCTGCTTATCTGTGGAAAACCTTCAGAGCTGCTTCACTGCTGCTCTTGTCTTATTTCAGTTTACTTATTTCATTTCAGTGCTTATATTTTATTGCTTTTCTGCTTTGTAGTCACTGCGTTTCTTATGTTGTGTCATTTCGTTTCTTCTAAACAATATCCTGCACAAGAATTTCCTTCAGGATTGATAAAGTTTTATCTTAAAGGCCTTTATATATTGATATAAGCCAAAAACAGGGACTGATAAAGTCACTACAACCTTCTACTTTGTTGACTTTACAAGATTATTAACATTTGTTCTTTACTTGCTCACTAAAACATTTAACACGCCAAGCAGCCAAAAGAATAAAACTGTTTTACACACTGAGAATATGACACTGAATGTCAGATCAATGGATTTATCTTCCTCATCACCATGACAATTGTCTTGTTTTTATTATTTATTATTGATAATTTGCCTTTTTTTGTGAGCAGCATAAAGAGACTTGATATATTATTTTGTTACACAATCTTGTGATGATAATTAGACTAATTAGCGCCTTGCATGGCAGCTCTGTCGCCATTGGTGTATGAATGTGTGTGTGAATGGGTGAATGAGAAACATTGTAAAGCGCTTTGAGTGCCGCAAAGGTAGAAAAGCGCTTTATAAGCGCAGACCATTTCCTGAATCCTAAGATTCAAATGAGAAACCTTCATCTAGACACCTGACTTGTGATTGGTCGTCTGTTGCCAGCTCTTTCTATCCAGGTTCAGAAATCCAGGTTTAGTTGAGACTGCTGGTTTAGTGAAGCCTGATAGTAAAAACATAATATGTTGTATTGTGGCATAAAATGTGGATTTTTATGCAGATATTTATCAGATTTGAGCTTGTTTTATGAAATACTTTCTGAAATAAAACATTTTTTTTTAAACTAACAGGCCAGATGCTCTGTTTAAACCACAATATCTCAGGAGTTATTTAAGACAAGAAGTTCATATTTTCTAGTTTCTATTCTTTATGACAGTAAACTTAACATATTGGGGTTGTGGACAAAACAGGACATTTGTCATGTTGGACTTTAGGAAAAACTTCTCATTGTATTCTGACATTTTATAAACCAAAAAACTATTTGATTATTCAAGGAAATAATCACCAAAAACATAAACAATGAAAATAATAATTGTTGCAGCCCGAATACAGTTCTAACAATGCCTCAACTCAGGCTTCAGCACTATTTTAAGAACATAAAACATTCAGTTTATCTTCATAAAACCTTTAATTTCATCATACAGTTGAAACCAGAAGTTTACACACACTGTATAGAAAGACATTTAGCAAATAGAAATAATTTTAGTAATCCTAACTGACCTAAAACAGGAACAGTTTGGTCTGATTTAATGTCAGTGAAAAAAAGAAAAAAGTTGGATGTCTTTTTATACAGTGGATGTAAACTTCTTGTTTCGTCTGTCAGTCAAATCAGAGAACCCGACTGTTTTTAATGTGCTTTTTTTTAGAGAAATAACCTTATTTTTAATGCTGAACGAACAGCATTGGGATTCTACATCAAGTAAAACAAATAATAGGAGTAAAATCCACCTTTTTGTCTTTCTAAAGAAGAGTTCAGGAGTCAGAGAGGAAGCTGGTGCCTCTCATGTTTTGTCTGCTTTGCTAAAATGTGCATAAATATTAGCAACACTTCAAAACATAATGTAAGCTCACAGAGAGTCTCCTCGACTCCTACAGTAACAGCACCGTTGTGTTGCTGTTGTGTTACTGTACATCACATCCCTGTTTCTGTGTCCCGCACAGCACTCGTCCCCGACAGCGTGAAGAAAGAGCTGCTGCAGAGAATCCGAGCTTTTCTAGCTCAGCACGCCACCTTGTGAACGAGCCGACGTCCCGTCTAGACAACTTTTTTACTCGCCGTAGATCCAACGATTCGAATCCAAACCAACCCGTGTTTGTTCTCATTGTGAGCGATGCTGAAGTGTTAATTTTATTTTGTATTGTGTGTTTTTCATATTGATTTTAGTTTGTTATGCTGCAGTTTTTGGAAGAAAAAAAGAAATACAATAAAATAAAGTCATGCCTATTTTGGTCACTGAGGCTCCTGATTGTGTTTTGTTTTAATTGAGACCTAAAAATGCAGAAATATTCGACTTTTATTTACTTACAGACAACATAATGAGTGATTTCATTTCATTTTTTAACACGTACCAGCTTTGCACCAGCTCCTGCTGCCATTCTCTGGCTCCCTGTCAGTTTGAGAGTTGATTTCAAGTTTTTAATCGCTTGTTTTAAAAACTTTGAATCCTCTGGCGGGGCTGCAAGGTGGCACAGTTGGTTAGCACTGTTGCCTCGCAGCAAGAAGGTTGCCGGTTCGCGTCCCGGTGGGGGCACCGGAATCTTTCTGTGTGGAGTTTGCATGTTCTCCCCGTGCAGTGTGGGTTCTCTCCGGGTTCTCCGGCTTCCTCCCACAGTCCAAAAACATGCTGAGGTTAATTGGTGATTGTAAATTGTCCGTAGGTGTGAATGTGAGTGTGCTTGGTTGTCTGTCTCTAAGTGTAGCCCTGTGATAGACTGGTTACCTGTCCAAGTGAACCTGCCTTCACCCTGAGTCAGCTGGGATAGACTCCAGCCCCCCAAGACCCTAGTGAGGATTAAGCGGTGTATAGAAAATGGATGGATGAATCCTCTGGCAGGTAAGTGTTGATTTCTCACTGAACTCATTTGTCGAAATCCAAACTCCGTGTTCCTTTTAAATCTCCTCTTATAGCTTACTTTACTCATTTGTTTTTTTCCTTAAATTTGGACATTGTTGGGATTATTTTATCCTGTTACACGGTAAGTCCTGCATGTTTATCCTGTAAAACACTGTGTGAGTTATTACTGTTATTGTTGATGCTTCAAAATAAGCCAGCAGACAGTCGGTATGACAGAAATGTCATTGCTTAACTCATAGTTTGTGGAGGTTTGTAGTTACGTAAGAAGGCAAGAAATGTGTTGCGTAAGTGCTTCATGAATTTGTCCTTTGATAAATTGAGCTTTAATTTTTAATTTAAAAAAGCCTTTATATGTAATTTAGAGTTTTCATATTTAAAAATAATCCAGCGTCTGTTTGATTTTTATGGCTGCGGTCAAACATTTGTAAAACATGAGCTCATCCTGCAGCAGGTTGTCATTTTGCCTTCCAGGAATCCGACTCGTGTTGTGTTCAGAGTCGCTCACAGGAAGCTGAGCTCATCTTGAGTCAACATCTGAACCTGCTGGACGACTGACAGTATCTGCTTTTGTTCCTTTTTTTGTTTTCTTTCCACAATTTAGGACTTTTTGGAAAGACTGAAGTCACAGTGACAGGGGGGTATTTAGGCTTTTTAGGCTTTAATTCTGTGTGTGGGCAGAGTGAGCGTTGTTGTTGTGTGGGCTGTGTGTGTGTGTGGTCGTAGCTGTCAGGGGAAAAACAGACAATCTGAGCAGATTTCAACCCACAGCTCTGAAGTTTTTCGCCAAGTTTTTTATGTCCTAAATGCTCACTTTTTTATAAATCTCAATTATATAAGATAAGATAAGCCTTTATTAATTAAACATTTGCAGCAAAAGTACAGAAACAAACCAAAACATTCAAGTTCCAGTGGTAGAAATAAGAGTATTGCACATGTCGGTGGTAATGGCACAGTTTCTATCATGAATAGAAATACTGAGAGAAGTAGTGACGCCGCACAGATGTAAGTAGAAAAATACCTACGTAGCATATGCTCTGTACTGACTAAAACTCAAATCGCTTTCAAATCAAGAATATTTTTGCTTAGATGAGAAGCTTAGATGCAAAGTTTGATATGAGTGCTCATGTATGCTAATTATGAAGCTACAGCTAGTCAGTAATCTTAAGTTAGCATACAGTCAGTGAAAAAAATACCTCAATAAAACCACAACTTCATTATTTTTCATTTCTGTTTTAGTACATTTCAAGCAAACCACTTATAATATCTTCATAAGAGCTGTTAGCTATATTTTATTAGCTTTGGACAGAGTGAGGCTAGCTGCTTTCCCTTGTTTGCAGTCTTTGTGTCAAGCTAACCGGCTGGTAGCTTTAGCATTAGCACAGAGTTATCATTTTTCATTCATTAATATGTCATTTTTCGATTTGTGTTTTCATTTATTTTAAGCGAAAAACCCGTAGTGTGTTCATAATTTAGCTTTAGCAATGCTACAAGGTGGACTTTGTTCGAGCCAAGCTTGCTGCTTGCTCTTGTTTCCCGTCTTTGTGCTAAGCTAAGCTAACTGTTTGCTAGCTTTAACATTTTTAACACAAATAGTCATCTTCTCTAGAGGCATTTCTTTAAAAAAAAAAATACAGTCAGTGTCACATAATTCAGTTGTTATTGTGACTTTTCCTTTCTTTCCTAATTTATAATCATCATCTTATTCTGGTTTTGTACATTTCAAGCAAACATATAGTAGCCCTTTGCTAAGCTAACTAGTTGCTAGCTTTAGCATTAGCATACAGATATTAGAGTCTTTTCTCAAACTGTTCCTTTAAAATAACCCTTAGCTTCACACAAATATGAAGATGATTATCATTTGATAACTAATACTTCATACTATTACTACACTGTTGCTCTAATAATTTAATTTGCATTGACGGCTGATTATATGAAGCAATTTTAAGATATTTTTAGCAATGTGATGCCACATGACATGTTTGGATTTTATTTTTGACTTTTAGAAACAAAATTATCCTTAATAATTAAAATCATTTCTTTAGGAGGAATTGGAGACAAGTAATTGAAAGACTTGCAGCTACAAACATGGCTTTGCAGACATGCTGTAAAGGCTTTTGTCACCGCAGTCATAAAATTAGATTTTTATATACTGGACAACAAATTGCATCCAGTTTTTTTTTTTATCAAAATCAGTTTGAGTCTTATGATGCCAATGTTCAATCTGAAACTTATGATATCTGTCTTTTGATACTGAAGTCACTGATTGAAAGTATTTATTACAAGTCTATGGTCCGACTACAGGCCCGTCCTCATTTAATACACATTTAATATTGGTTAATATTTTAGTTTTTAGTTATTTTTTTAAACAAATGTTTGGGTTTTTTGTTTTTGTATTACACAACCAAAAAGAATTCTCTCATAATCTCCTCCATTATCGCTTCTTGTTACAGAACAACGAGGCTCGAGGTAAAAATAACATCAAAAGGACGATCACCATTATCTGCTTTAAGTGAAAATTCCTGTCGCGCTCTGCTGTTGTTCTGCTGCACCTTACGTAAGAGGACATTTTTTCACGCAATCATCTTTTCCTTCGTGGAGGCACGTGTGAGTAAATACTCTGCTTTGCACGTTACGCCTGAACTTCAATGAGAACATGACACAGACGGATGCTGGTGACGATATTGGTGCTTCAGATTCATATCAGTGCTGCAGTGTCCCCGGTGGCCACTGGAGGCCGCTAACGTGCAGAGTGTCGGTCTCACTCTTCCTGCTGCCGTTTTGTTTTATGAGTAACAGTCATGCTTTAAACACGAGAAGGTGAGACGAGTGTCCACGTTACCGTATTTAGTCTGAGTCAAATCAGACAGCATTCAGGGAATAAGTTGCTCCACCATTTCTGAGCATGTTTCGAGCTTCCTTGTTGATATTTTTGGACACAAAGCTAAGTTAAGCCCTGGGTATTTCTGACAATTTATGACCGTATACAGATCAGAGAACAGGGGCATTACAAATAAGAGTCTTTACAGCTTCAAAAGCTTTCTGACACTCTGGTGACCAAACATACTTAACTTTGGCCTTCAGCAGGTTTGTGAGGGGTGCAACAACAGTAGAAACATTTCTACAAAAACACCGGTAATATCCGACAAGTCCCAAAAAACGCATGAGTGCTTTTTGAGTTGAGGGTGGGACATGGTCCTCTATAGCCTGCACCTGTGCACACACTGGACACTCTGCCTTGACCCACCACACGACCCAAACGAGTCACTGTGGCCTTTGCCAACTCGCACTTGGCCAAATTAACAGTTACATGTGCATTAGCCAAGCGGTCAAACAACTGCTTGATAGGGACAAGACGTCCATCCCAGTCATCAGAACAGATGACTTCATCATCCAAGTACACTTCATGAGTCATTCTCAACCAATTTTAAGTCAGCATAGTAAAAACTGGAACCTTTTCTTGCCACACTCACCACAAATCAAACTCTACTGAGCCTCAGAAGTTGGTGAAATGTCAACCAAAGACCGTGTTTTTAGTAGAAAATATGGATCCATCCATATATATATAAACTTACAGGAAGTTTCTGGGACCAAAATACCACCTTTGTTTTAAAATTTGAACTTTTTTTTCTCCATTTCTAAGAACCAGTAGTTTTCATTGTTGTTAATATGGACGATTTAAAGTCATTTTGGACAAATAGTGAGTGATTTCGGACAATTTTGAGTCATTTTGGGCAAAGTTTGAATCATATTGAAATAGTTTTAAGTCAGAATTGCAAAGCTGGAACCTTGTCTTTCCATACATCCAACACATCGAACTCTGCTGATGTTAGAGCCTCAACAGTTGGTGAAACGTTGACCAAAGACTGTGTTTGTAGCAGGAAACCTGGATCCATCCATTTTTATACACTTACAGGAACTTTCTGGGGCCATGAAACCACCTTTGTTGGAGAATTTTGCACTTTTTTACCATTTCCAGGGGCTGATAATGTAAAGGTGTGAGCAGTCGATCATTTGTTTGTTAGAAACCGTTCTGTGTGAGCCGTAGTTTCACGGCGGTGGGAGTTTTATTTCCCTTAAAATGGCTTCCAAGATAAGATGTTGTGTTTTTTTGAGGGTGAAAATACAAAATTCTTTCACAGAACTTAGTTTTGGGAGTCAGTTAGCAGCTCTGAGCTAAACTTAAGATGCTAACGTCCAGGCTCGGCCTCCCGGACGTGGATTAAACCCTGAAGTCTTGTTTTTTTAAAGCAGATCTTTTCGTGAATCCATTTCTGGTGAGTGTTTTCCAGCGGGGCAGTGCCGTGACCCTGGGTGTGGATCTCTGCATTTTTCTTGATAAATCTGATAATAAAGGAAGCTGAGTCATCCTTCCTTGTGCTGTCTGGCAGCGTTGGAGGGAAAACGCGGCGGTTTCAAAACACACAGCGAAGCTCGAGCGTGATGATTAACGCTTGAAGTTACCGTAACCGTCGGGTTTCTTCACCGAGAGCTAAAAATGTTTTTGCTGCTGCTGCAGGTTTGGAGAGTTTGGAGCGTTCTGTGTTTGGCTGGATGAGCTCAGCGGCCGTCCGGTGACACATCTGTCAACAGTCCTGACCTGCAGAGGAACTCCAGCTGTGGAGTCTGAATGCCGCCTGTTCATGTCCTTAAGTTGTCTAATTAGTCACATTGTTGGGGGGGAAGCGGAGAGTCGATTTTAACGTGTTTATTTGTAGAATTAAAATCATCTCTAAGAATTGTTTGAGGTGTAAAGGATGTGGACAAAATAACAGGAACACCTGACAATATGAAACGATGCAAAAAGGAAGTAAAATAACAACAACAACAAAGATTTCTGCATAAATAAATGCATTTTCACCCTTAGATTTTTTTATTTCTTTAAGTGTACCTTCACATAGCCGCGTTTCTTTGCCGTCCTCGGAGGTGTCTTGACCGTTTCTGTGTATTTACGGTTGCTGATCGTCTGTCATTGAGGATCTTGGGTTTGTTTTGTTTCCGGATGTTGCTGGTTTGTGAGTTTTCTTTTACTTTCTGGCTAAACTTGTGCTGCTGTTTCACTTTTTTCATCACTAACACTTGAAAAACAAACTGAGAAGTTGTTTTAGGTTACAGATTGTTGGCATTAAAGATGTTAATGCAAGTTTTAGAGACTGGTTTTGTATTTTTGGACAACTCGGCATCTTCTCCGATGCACATTTACAATATTGTCGAGTATTTTTATTAATGTTTGTGGGTTTAAAAACATCCGACTGTGACTACTGATGACAATAATGATAAAAAATCACAATTTTTCTACTTCTAAGAGGGACATTGTTTGACTAAAAGCACTTAATTACAGCACTGGTTGCGCTTATATAATGTATTTAATATCAGATAATATTTAGTAGGATGATGTAAAACATATTGATTTACATGTTGACTGTAAAAGAAAGTTATAAATATTGTTTGTTTTTTCTTTTCTTTTGTGTTTCTCTGTATTTAAATGAGCTAAAATGTCATTATTTTTGCTAATATTTCCGTTTTTATCCACTATTTTTGAGCTGTCTGGCTGTTTTTTGGTTTGTTTTTCTGCAGTGGTTGCAGATTTGTATTATTTCTTGTCTTTTCTAGTTTCACTTCTTGTCTTCTGTCAAACTCTGATTGGATTTCCTGAAGTCCATGACGCACGGTTTGGCCCAGTTTCACCTCCAGACTCGTCTCCAGTCTCCTCCCTCCTCCTGCAGGTGAAGGCGGAACCGTGAGATGGTCATAAAGAGCCGCTGCACCTGCAAGAACCCAGAACCCAGACAGACTCTCTGGATCCTCCTGAGACGTTCAACAGATCGACCAAACCAACAACAGGCGAGTTTATTCATTTCACATCACATTTTAATCAAAAAAATAGAAAGTTTTATTCCGTTTATAGGTATTGTTGCAAATTTATCAATTAAATGCCTGCAATTTATTAACTTTCATCTCATTAGTTGCGTCTAACTTTCTCAGAACAAACTAAAAATGCACTTTTTCGGTGTTTTTCATCGCCTTTTACGCTCGATTCCGATTTTATTTGATCATGAAATACACCCAATTTGTAGCCATTTCTGCTAAATGTGGATTTAAAAGACAGAAATATTTATGTGAATGCTACTTTTCGGTGTTAAACAGTCGCGGTTTTCCCAGAAGAAGCAACGCAGGTGAAGCAGCGAAAGAATCTGAATCCTCAGGATGGAGTCCGCGCCGAGGCCGGTCTTCCTCCTCCTCCTGACGGTCTGGTGCTGCTGCAGTAAGTAAAAAAAAAATGCAAATATGTGATATTTCTGAAAGTTTATGTGGCATGTGTTTGGTTTTAAATCGACTTTCTTGTATTTAGGTGCAATTTGTGTCTTTTATTGAAATGCGTAAAAACGTGCGTAAAGTTCCAAACCAAGCAGCAGCAGCTCCAGGAGCGCACCGATCAGAAGAAAAACGGCTTTTAAATGAGTTCTATTTGTTTTGTTTTAGCTGCTCAACGCATCGACTACGTGTCTCCACGTCGAGGAAGCCAAAGTGGAGCAACGAGACTCACGATTTCAGGAGCAGGTGAGAAGCTGAAAGTGATCCAGTTCTGAAGAGAAATTATGTCTGATTCAAACTGTTCAAATTCACTTTCTGTCAGATTATGACACATATATTGTTATTATTTAGCTTTTAGGCAGAAGTTAAATCAGTAGAAAGTAATTCAGCGTTGGACAAAAGGAAAAAGGTTTATGTTTGCACTGTTCCTTTTTTATTTTACTGATTTGTTTTTTCTGTATTTTTCAACAAATTTACAAAAACTAGACGATGGATTCACATGAACTGTGTTTGGGAGCTTTTTAATGTGTAGATTATTTGTATGTGACATGTTCACTGATAATGTCTTTAGGTTTTTAATGCATGTAAATATCAAAACAACATGTTGTGCAACATTTAGGAGAGAAATTATATTTTAGTTCTAAAAAGTTAGTTTTGTTGTTGTTGTTTAAAAAAAAGAGAGATTTATGTTCTGTTCTGTTATTTTATTGTATTTTTTGGTGCTGAAATATGACTGTTTTTTGTTTTTAAAATGTATTATTTTGTTTATTATTATTTAGTTTGGTAATTTAATTACTTTTCTACATTATACATCACATTTTTTTGACTATGGACAGTTTACTGTGTCTGTTTGGTGTCCCAGCTGCTGGAATATTGTCTTCTTTAATTTAAATTTCATTTCATTTCTTTATTTTATAGCGTGTTTGTTATTGTTATTGTTATTTATTCCCTGTGCTGCTCTGTTCTTCAGGTTTTTCTAAGACGGAGTTCAAGCTGAAGCCTGAAGACGCTCACTTGGGGAACCTGGTGACTCTGGTGTCGAGCACCAAGTCGTTTCCCTGCGACGTGGAGAGAGACTCGACTCACGAGAACCAGATCATGTGTTACACCAGGTACAGCAGCAACGCACTCTTATTTACTTTATCTGGTCGTTTTATTCTCCTTCAGCCTTTAGTTATTTACTTATCTACAGGTTTGTGGCTGCCAGTGAAATAAAACCAACAGAATTAGAATCGACTTCATAAAAGTCGGTTTTTTATCATAAATACCAGAAATGCTGCAAATGTTAAATACCAACAATCTTTGCATTTTTAATATAAATACCAGCAATTTTTAAAAATTTAATTATAAATACTAACATTCTGTGCACCTTTATTGTAAATAGCAACAATATTTGCATTTTTATTGTAAATACACACAATTATTTTGCATTTAAGTTTAAAATACCAACTATTTTTGCACCTTTTTTTGTAAATACAAGCATTTTTTTTCATTTTTATTCTAAATATAAAGATTTTTTTGCATTTTTATTCTAAATGCTAACATTTGTTTGTATTTTTATTGTAAATTCCAACAATTTTTGGTATTTTTATTCTAAATACCAACAATTTTTATGCATTTTTATTCTAAATGCTAGCAATCTTTGCATTTTTATTCTAAATACCAACAATTCTTGCACCTCTATCTATTGATCTACTTTATTTATTTACTATTATGATTATTAATGTTATTATTGTAGCCTTGTGTTTATGTTTTTAGCCTCTATTTCTTTATTCCACCTTTTTTTTTATCCTTTACTTGAAACTGGCATCTTTGGTTCTTTCATCATTTTATCTGGTGTTTTTTGTTTTTTTTTAAGTTTCCTTTTGTTACTTTTTGTTCTGTCTGTAAAGCACTTTGTCAAACCTGTTTTTTTTTAAAGGTGCTCTGTGACTAAAGGTACTATTATTATTATTGTCATTTTTAATATTATTGTGTGTGTCTCAGAGCGATGCCGGCCAGTCACTACATGGTCCATGTCACCGTGGACGGAGTTCCCATTCCTGAGAGCAGCAGATGCAGAGGATCCCACGCCTGGTACCACTGCAGCTTCTATGTGAGTCAGCAGCTGAAGCAGCTCTTTAATCTGATGTGTGTGAGCTCACGTGTCGCCGATTGGTTTCTAACTGTTTCTTTCTGTCTCCTCTCTCAGCCTGTCTGGTATCGAACTCCCACCATCGAGTCTGTGAGTCCAGTCAGCGGTCCTCCAGGTACCGTCCAGCCGTTACACCATGACACCATTACACCCAGTCCTCTCTGAACTTGAATTAAGTTAAAATCTGCTGCAGGAACGCTGGTGACGATGCGAGGACGGATCTACACCAACGTCTACGGAAGCAACACGGACCGAAGCTCCAACGGCCTCAACGTCAGGTTCCTGAGGTACAACGGGACTGTTCTGGTCCTCCAAAGCAATTAAATGCAAACTCTGTGTGATGGTATCTGCCTGTTATCTCATTATAGGAGCACAATCTGACGCACTATGAACTGGTCTGACAGGAAATTCTTTGGAGCAGCTGATTTGTTTTATCTCCTTGTTTAGTCACAAACATTTAAAGCTTCAAAGACAGACACAATACTGAATATACTGAGTGGTTAAAAATATCTGAAGCCATAAATCTTTACTCTCTGAACTCTACAACAGCTTTGAAATGCAGGTTTTCTTTGTAAAAAAATCGCCAAAAATGCTCCAATTATTGGATTTTCAGACTCAACTTTCTTTCTTTTTATGGAAAAACGTCACAAAAACAAAGAAAAACAAGTTTAAATTGGTGATATTTCATCCAAATGAATTCATTACACATGTTTTATCGACCGTCTGCTGTGAAACATAAAAACTTTTAAGCTGCAACTGAGAAGCTTCGACTGAACTTTAATTCATATTTTCCTCCATGTGCTCCTGTTTGTTGCAGATCCTTCATGGGAGGGATGCCCTGTGAGCTGCTCAAGCCGGATTCAGACGAACTGTAAGTGCTTTAACTCGTGTTTAATGCAAACACAACACGAGTTTCTGCAACTTTTATCGATTCAAACCCAAAGAAATTCATCTGAAAGCAGCGAAAACTGAATTTAATGTGCTCGTGCAAACATAGACGGATGGATTTAAGCTCAGATGTGAAAGATTATTGGCTTTGTGCTGAGTATTAACGTGTGTTGTTGGATATCATAAGGTACAACCTCCGTCTGGACTCTGAATCGTCCCACTGGGGATACATGAGCTGCAAGATGACGGGGACGTACGTCGGTGAGCCGCTTTCCTCCACAGTTAAACTGCAGAAACATAATAAATAGAACATAACTCAGCTGTTAAACTGCTGCTTAATGGTTCTGTTTTATCTCCGTCAGGTCATCACAACTTGTCCTACATCCTGGACGGTGAATTTGGAAGGTAAAACGTCTTCAGTTTAATCCTCTGAGCAGGTTCTGCTCATTCCTTCATTTTATTTGTTTATCGTGAATTCATGACTTCTTTTTTCTTTTGCTTTTGTAAGTGTTGATTTTTTTGTTTATATTTGTGCCGGTTTTTTCTTTTTTTCTCGTAACTTTGTGGGATTTTTAAATTTTTTTTAAAATGTCAAATTGGAATTTAAAAAGTCACAAATTTTCCTTGTGAATTTATCTTTTTTTTCTGATAGATTTCGGAGCCTTTCCTATTACACTGGCCATTTTAAATAATAAGATTAATAATAATTAAGCATAAATCGCAGGGGGGTTTTGCTGCTGTTGTAGATTAAAAATTTCTTTGTCATGAATTCATGATTTTTTTCTTTTGAACTTTATGTTGTGAATTGTTTATTTGTAAAAGTAAATTAGTGACTTTTTTGTTAATATTTTTCTTTTTTTTTTCTTTAATCTCAAATTCAAAATTAAATAGTCACAAATTTTCCTTAAATGTAATTTGTCACTTAAAAAAAAAACAAAAAACAAAACAACTTTGGAGCTTTTTTTTATTCATTTTTTTAGCATAAATTTTGGATTTTTTGTTGTACATTTATATTATCTTTATCATAAAATATTTGTGGCTTTTTTGTGCAAATATGTCAGTTTTTTCTAAAAAAAAAAAAGAAAGAAAAAAAAAGAAAATAAAAGAAAAACGTTTTCTTTCATGAATTTACAATTTTATTTCATTTTTTAGATTTGTGTGGGTTTTTTTTTTTTAAATCACAAATTCATGATTGTTGTTGTTATTGTTGTTGTTGTTATGTGTAAATTTGTGTGGTGAGTTTTTCCTGCAAAATTTCTGACTTTTTTCTGGCAAACTTGTCAATTAATTAATTTGTTTTGGGGCAAGATTGTACACCCAAAAAAAAAAGAAAAATACTCTTTCATGTCAAAGTGGAAGTAAGTTTCTATAAAGTCTGGTCAGTGAGTTAAAAATCTAAAACTAATCAACAGATATGAAGCTAATGAAGATTCTTGGCGATGAAGTGAAAAACGTTGATTGTGTTGTTGTTGCTTTTGTTTCCTCTTTAGGAGTTATCCAGCAAAAAAACTGCTGAGTGTGTCTGCTGCAGACAAACTGTCCATGTTCCAGACGTTTGCAGGTTCGTTTCACAGCCACAGTCTGATTCCTCTTCAGCGTTTGTGCTGACAGACAGTAAAATGTCGGTTGTGTCTCTTGTCCAGAGGTGACCGGAGTCTCTCCGTCGGCCGGCGGCGTCCTGGGAGGAACGCTCATCACCGTTCACGGACGGTTCTTCGACGAAACCGATCGACCGGCTCGAGTTCTGGTCGGAGGTCAGTTTTCAGCTCCATGACAACCTCGTCAAAGTGTTCGGAGCCAACAAAGCAAAACGTCGAGTCACGCAGCGCCGCTAATCCGCATCAACGCAGCACAATGTGTGCATACCTTAAAACAAAAGACAACCAGAGGACAGAAAGAACGATCTTCCTGAAGCTTAGAGACGCAGCCGACCGTCACAAACCATCACTCAAGACGACGCGAGTCAGTTCACATCCAGTTACACATCCGACAGAACCAGAACCAGAAAAACACGTTAAACTCCGGAGATGGGTTTTAATGAGTTGAACACAGAACACCAGCTCATGCAGCTCCAATAAGTCACGTTTTTACACAGTAAAACACATGAACTGCTGGAGCTGACTGGAGAAATCAAAGCTGGATATTTAGTTGTAAATTTGTAATTAAAAAAAAAAAAGAAGAAGAATTCAAAAACTCTCACAAATCTGGTAGTTTTTTTGTTTCTTTTTTTCTTTTAGCATAAGTTGATTTTTACATTTTGCAGATTTATGAATTTTATTTGTTGTAAATCTGTGACTTTCTTGTTAATTAGTGAATTTTTTATCTGAAATTTTTAAAAAAATTCTCATAAATTTTTTTTAGTATTTCCACAGAAATTTATGAGTTTTGTGCTGAATTCAGATTTTTATTACATTTTAACTATGATTTTTTTTAAGTCAGAAATTTCTGATGTTTTTCTTTTAAATTTGTGATATATTTTTTTTTGCCTTAAACTTACGGCAGTTTTTGTTTTGTAAATCTGTCCCTTTTTTTTATATATATAAATATAACATAAACATATATTTATTCAGCAAATTTAGAATTTTCTTTCTCAGAGATTTGAGGAATTTTATCAGAAATTCCTGATTTTTTTTCCCTGTTAATTTGTGATTTAGACTTTTTTTTCTCAGAAACTTGAAAATAATAAAGTTAAATTTAATTAATGTTAATATTAGAATTGTAATTATTATTTTTAAGAATTTAATTAATATGAGAAATATAAATATTTTTAATAATAAATTAACAAATACAATTGAAAAAAAAACAAACATTTTTTTAAAAACTTATTTTTCTCCTAAATGCTGCTGTAGCTTGAAGCTATTGTAGAGGAAAAAAATGCAGAATATTTCCCACGAGATGTTGGAGAGTGAGCATGTAAAACGGTATAAAATGCAGATAAAGTGAAGCCCAAGTGTCTCATAATTATAAGTACAGTCACAGAGCAAATGTCAATTCCTCAGTAAAGGGTTTTTATTTATCATATGGAGACAATAATAACAATAATAATAATAATAATAATAATAATAATAAGGATGTGTTCTTTCTTCAGGTCGTCCATGTGAGATCCAGAGTGTCGCCGACGACAGAATTACTTGCAGAACACCTGAGCAGCCGAAGAACATGAACATGTCGGTTTATCCAGGTGAGCATCTGTGTGTTTGTCTTTATGTCACGCTGCGTTGTTTCCTGAGCGACACATCGCGACTCCACGTCTGGAACAATCTCAACTATCTGTCGTGAACAAAGCTGCGGTTTCAAAGACCACGATGTAATCTCGGCGCTCTTTCACAGTTCAACGCGACCTCTGGGACTTTAATGTGCTTTGTTCTGTCACCACACAACCTGAAACACGAGCACACGTTATCAGTGAAGCATCGCATGAAAGAGTTTTCATAGAGACGACGTCAGCGGCGACAGACGCAGGCGCTGATTTGATGTCAGGATTTGTCTGCAAAGATACGAGACAAGCTGCTTGAACCCAAACAATAAACACATTTATATCATTTGATCAGTAAGAACGTGCCGTCACTGCTGATGAAAGTGTTCTGTTGATGTCTATTTATTTCCTCTCATTCTGCAGCCACGAGTAAAGACAATCTTATGTTTGTTTAATTTACAAAATGCCTTCTGCGTTTACCTCATTCATACATGGAGCCACCAGGTTTGATCAGTTAGTCATCAAATGATAAACTAATTGCCACCTCCTTTTCTCGGAACTGACTGATCGGCTTAAGAAGAAAAAAGTCTCAATTCTCTGATTCCAGCTGCTTAAATGTGAAGATTTTCTGGTTTCTTAACTCCTCTGTGACAGTAAA